CTTGTGCAAATGTGTTAACTCCACCAATTTTCCAATACTTGTGCACGTGGGTTAGCATTTTCCAAACAGGTTCTCAAGGGATATTAGCACTCACTACTAGGTCCTAATGCAAATGCATGGAGTCAATTCACCTAGTGGCACATGGATAACCGCATTTGCTTTGGGATTACCCCTCTTAATAGTATGACTATCTATCCTAAATGTGATCACACTCTCTATAGTGTCTTGATCACCAAACAAAAATGGCCATATTGCTTATACCTTTGTCTTGAGCCCATTTTTGTTTTTCTTTCTTCTTTTCCAAATGTGGAGAACTTGATCACCATCTTTTGCCCATCTCCATCCTTGAGTACCAACTAGCTCCATCACTTGGTGTGAACCAACCTATCTCATATCACTTAGAGCAAAGTATTAGTTCACTTAGGTTTCATCAATTATCCAAAACCAAGCTAGGGCTTTCATCAACTCTATGTGTGTTCTTATTATCCTCCTTGGTGAACCTGAGCAATAGCAACATGCATGACTTAGGCAGTATATAATTCTCATTAATATTAAAATGAATTTCATCTTTTGTTGTAGTTTCTTTGCTCGATTACGCGTAATTGGTCCATCAAAGACTTGGGCTTGTGTAGATGTAGGTGATACTCGAGTTGGTGTAGCATGAATTGGAGGGTTGTAACATGTTGCTTGATGGCATGGTCATATCAATATATATGTTGTTTAATATAATAATGTAATAAATTAATGAATCATGTTTAAATTGTAATTTGTTTGTTATTCAGTGAAGTCAGCTCCAGTAGTGATACATGTGATCAAATATTTATGTTATTTTGGAATTTGGATTTGTCAAAGTCTAGCCATAGACTAGTAGATGGTAAAAATGATAATTTATGGTGAGACTAATATAATAGGAGACAGCTCACAATCACAAATAAAAATGATAATTTATGGTGAGACTAATATAATAGGAGACAACTCACAGGGGCCGTTCGGCTGCCTGAATTTCAGCTGGAAAAACACTGTTTACGGCTGAAAATACTGTTCACTCTCTTACAAATTTCTCCAGATTCAGTTAGATTCCTTCAAATTTCTCCAAGCGAACGGGGCCACAATCACAAACATGTGCGAGTCGCACGTTGCATTGCTACTAGTAGTTAGTAGTGTAAAAGAAGAGTAACTTGTGAACGCACATGGTCTGGGAGATGCTACATAAAAACACATATGTGCTACGCTTTTTGGATTTCTATTGAGGCTCATTTAAAGCTCGAATATTTTACTGGTTTAAAAGACGTTCATAAATTTGAAAAATTCATCGAAACTCATGGAGGTGATGGTAAAGCATTTACTCGCTCTTTTAATTAAAAGACACAATTCTCACTTTTTAAGGAGTTAAATGATTTCAAATTTTAACGAAACTTATATAGAAAATATTAATACAAGATAAATACCATTATCTATATTTTATTCCTATAATTGTGGACGGAGGAGGTATATTTTACTGTGCTAGATAAATGCCCGTGTCATGAATTTTTATACGTGTCTACGGCGACAAATTTGATCGCGTCCCCAAACCTCGCATGCTTCTCATCATAGTCCGTCCTGTACGTGCTTGGAAACTAAACTCATCCTGTACGTGCTTTTGGAATTAAACTGGTGATCGTACGTGACTTTTTTAATTAATTAAATAAACGGCAAGGTGTTAGAGAGAAAAATACTGTTCTGGCTTATAATCCACGATTGTTTACGACCAAGCGAACATGTTGATAAACTGGTGAGCTCATACGTGATATTTTTTGAATTACTACCTATGTCCTAAAAAGAATACAACTATGGTATACGTGTCAGTTAAAGTGCTTCACATTTGACTAGATTTCTAGTAAATATTATTCACATTTATGGTTCTAAATTAATTTATTATGAAAACATATTTTATAATTAATTTAATGATGCTTATCTGATATAAAAGATTTTTATATTTTTTAATTTATAATTGATCAAAAACTTGGTATACTGAATCACGACGCTATCTAGAATTGCATTTTTTTTTTTTTGCGGAGGAAGTATTAAATAAACGGCAAGGTGGGTAGCACCTGAGCCCGTGCGGAGCGTTTCGGACTCCGCTTCCGTTTCCTTTCGGGAGGTAGTAATAGGTGCATGCACCCCACGCGGACTCTGGAGGCGTGCGATTATGCACGGGCCCTGTCTACGTGGAGAGAAAATTTGTTGGATCATTTGCCATCAAAACTTATACTGGTTCCTGGTTGCCATAAAAAATTTTAGAATTCCTTTAACTGTCATCAATTTATAATTTCTGACATCACCGTCACATACATGGGTTTTATTTCCTTAACTTCCATTCATGGAGATAATTTGTTTCCTTGATTGCCATCCTATCACTGTTACATGTCCGTGTTCACTTCGAAATTTGATTACGATGTTTCCCCTGCCCCATGTGTGAGTACATGTGCACATATGCACAAACAGAATCGATCTGCACAATCACGAACGAATAAAAATCAGACGACGAGAGATAATTTTTTAATCAATAAATAGTATTTTTATCTTACAACGAATCGATCAACGACACTTTACACGAGCGAACAGGACAACACATCTACGGTCATTAGCAACGTAACGCAAGGGAGCAGCTAGCTAGCTTGCATCACTGAATTTTCACATCCGCAGCGGCCGTACGTAGCTGTAGGTGTAGTGCTGGTCTGAGTCCTAGCCTCCTAGGTCCATGAGCACGCCGCTGCCACACATGTGAGCAATGCAAAAAGCTGTGCTGTCAGCAGTCCGACTCATGTGGATAGTACAGTACTAGTATTCCCTCATGCGGTGTGGGTGAAATTTGGGAATTTGCTACTGTATTACTTTTGTTTTTATTTCATAATTAGTGTTCAATCACAGACTAATTAGGTTCAAAACGTTCGTCTCGTGATTTCCAATCAAACTATGCAATTAGTTTTTTTTGTCTACATTTAATGCTCCATGCACGTATCGTAAGATTCAGACCTTATTCGGCTGGCTGGTTGCTGGCTGGCCAGCCCACTCACGAAATCACTGTTTACGTGAACCGTATTTCCAGACATAACAGTATTTTTCTCTCACAATAATTAGCCGGAACAGTATTTTTGCTTATTTTTCAGTCCTACCGAACAGGCCCTCGATGTGATAGCTACTATAGCACTTCTTGAGAATTTGGTTTTGAAACTAAACGTGGCTTGAGTAGAAAGGCACGTTTAGACATAGTCATGGAGTACTAAATGTAGACAAAAAAAAAACTAATTGCACAGTTCTCGGTAAGATCGCGAGACGAATCTTTTAAGCCTAATTAGTCTATGAAAAGCCTTAAGTGCTACAGTAACCGACATGTGCTAATGACCGATTAATTAGTATCATTAGATTCGTCTCGCAGTTTTCTGATGGGTTCTGTAATTTGTTTTTTTATTAGTATCCAAAAACCCTTCCCGACATTCTTTCGACACATCCGATGTGACACCCAAAATTTTTTACCTCCCCAACTAAACACACCCTTACTTTTAGAGAGAATTATCTATTTGGCACTGAAACAAATCAGTGTTTTGTATTTGACACTCGAAAATTTGAATTTTGCTTCTCTTCGCTCTGCAGTGCTACTCGTATATGCACCGGTCCGTTCGTTTCGCTGAAAAAAAGCTGAAACACTGTTCCAGCTGATTTGTTGCGAGAGAAAAATATTGTTCCGACTAAAAAATAATCTGAAAAAACGAATTATAAGAAAAACGAACTGGACCATCACGTGCGAGTACGTACTTGACAGAGAGCAATAATTTCGAGCGACAGGCTAATGTTTGTTTGTTACGAGTACCTAAAGACTACAGCAGTCATCAGAGCGTAGTGATTTGTAGGCCCGCCCGTATGTATTACTCAGCATTCGTCGCTTCAGCCGTGCGGTGACTGCTATACGGTAGGAGTACTGTACAAGGAACCAGTACGTGTACAAAGCCATTGTTTACTCTCCGGCAGTCTGCTGGTGCTGGTGTCTGCCTTCTCCGTGAAGCCGTACCGTGCCAGGCACAGGCGTGCCGCGTGCGGTAGACGGAAACCAGACGTTCGCCATGCTGCACAGTACTCTGCTACTGCCTTTTGTACACTCTTTTTCAGGCCCGTTTAGATGCGAAAAGTTTTGTTTTTGACTATTATAGCACTTTCGTTTGTATTTGGTAAAAAATATTTAATTATAGACTATTTAGGTTTAAAAGATTCGTCTCGCCAATTACGGCCAAACTGTGCAATTAGTTATTTTTTTACTTACATTTAATACTCTATGCATATACCGCAAGATTTAATGTGACAGAAAGTCCTGAAAATTTTTAGATTTTAGGTGGGATCTAGACATGGCCTCGGTCACACGACCCTCGCTCGCTCACTTCTCGCTTTGCCTTTTACCGCGTCGCGTACGCCCGGGGCAGGGTTGGGTTTTTGGCTTTGTCTTTTGACTATAAAAGTTAAAAACTTAATTAAAGGAGCTGTTTTTGGAGGGTGCTTTTTCAGAAGCAGCTGCTTTTTCGTAGTTTATTTTTGAAAGCTGGTTTGACTCTGCTTTTGGCTTTTGACTTTCTGCTTTTCGAAATTGGTGGAATAAAAAGCTTTTCCATAGTTGTTTTAAGAGAGATAAAGATAAAAGATATATTTTATACTTATTTAACCAAATAGCTTTCAGCTTTTCTACAGCTCACAGCCCACAGCAGCTTTCTCACACAGCCATAGCTCAAACAGGGCCTCGTGCCCGCTGGGCCCTCTACCAGGTCCCCGCTTTGCCCCAAGCCCCAACGGCTACCTGGCCTCCGACGTGGCGCCACCCTTCCATCGCAAGCCTGCTTTATATAACGCCCCGCCCTGGCCTCGCCATTGGCTCATCAGCTCCATCGCACGGTATCAGCCTGCCTCCCTGCCCATAGCATAGCAGCAGCAGGGCAAGTGTGACTGTGAGTGAGCGAACAAGAGGGGCGGTGGCAATGGCGTTGTGGGACGGTAGTGGTGGCGGTGGAGCCTTTCCCGCCGCGGCGGTCTCGGCCGTGCTGGTGGCTGCGGCCGTGGCGGCGCTGCTGGGCGCCGGGGTGGCGGCCAGCAAGTTCGACGACGTGGTGCAGCCCAGCTGGGGCAACGACCGCATGGTGTACGACGGCGACCTCCTCAAGCTCCGCCTCGACGCCAACTCCGGCGGCGGCTTCGTGTCCAGGAGCAAGATCCTGTACGGCAAGGCCAGCGCCGACCTCAAGCTCGTGCCGGGGGACTCCGCCGGCGTCGTCGCCGCTTTCTATGTGAGTGCATATTCGCAGGCACCGCATATTCGCATTGCTTTGCTTCCCTTGCATTCCTCCATCATGTTGTGCTACTGAAGTCGGTCGAATGCTGCTACTACTTTCTGTTGCGTGCGCATTCATACTGCGTTTGGCAATCCAGGCACTGATCTGTGCAAGTGTGCATTTCTTGCTATTATTGTGGCATCCGAATCTGCCACTGCCATGCATTTCTATGTATTTTATTTTATTTTATTTATTTATAAAAGACTCAAAACTAGTACATGCATTTATAAAAGACTGAAAAGTCTAAAATAGGGTAAAATGTGTCCGGCACATCATTAGATAAAGTTATCGAAAGCCACAATGCAGCCTGCGTAACGCAATGTGTCCGGCACAATGCAGCCTGTGTCCCGGCACAATCATTAGATGACGAGAGGCTGCATCTATGGTCATTAGCAACGCAACGCAAGGGAGCAGCTAGCTAGCTTGCATCACTGAATTTTCACATCCGCAGCGGCCTGTGAGCACGCCGCTGCCACACATGTGAGCAATGCAAAAGGCTGTGCTGTCAGCAGTCCAACTCATGCGGATAGCACAGTACTCCGCCTGATAATGGGCTGTGATCCGGCCCCAACCCCACTCCAGTCCTATGTGATTAATTATTACACCCAGCCCGATCCTAGCACCTACTGATTTGTTTCAGCTCGGTTCAATCCAATCCTACACGTCGCACCATCCTAATCTAGCCCCAGCCCTTTTTGAATCCTCGGGCCGGATCCTAAATGCAATCTAAGGGCTCTCACAAGCACATGTACAGTAATGCAATGAGTACAAGGCCCTGATTAACCAAATCACGAGCACGGTCACTAGCACTGATATGTTAATTTAATTTAAAAAGATGAAAAATAATAAAAATTACATGTAGCCGGATCCAAGTTTCTCCATCCATCTGCTACATATGTCCGTGCAAATTGATTTAATTCAAGAAAATAAGAAATAATGTCATGCAAATATGTATTGTCCTTCTCTGAATGACATAAGTCACAATTTCTCACTAACAATGCCATTGTAAGACTGCCAGCTGCATCTTGTAGAACTACCAGTTTTCTTCCAAAATAATTTGATCCTTGCACCTGAAACATAGCAACACTGAAAATCTTATTTTAAAATCTAAAATGCAAGAAACATGTAAAGCATGAACAGAAGTACTCATGCCTATCTTTGTACTAAGAAGACTATTGCCTATCTAAAGTAGCAGCAGCTATTGCCATATAGGAGAGTAGTAGAAGCTGCGGCTGTTGCAAATGACAGGAAATGAGTACAAGCACTTAAGCACTAGAAAAACAGCAAGACATGATAACTAAACTGAAAAAACAGCAACCACCACACCTCACCATAACCAGCCCCACACATTAAGACAACACACATTTGGACATTTTCAGCACACATTAGGCATTGTGTTGTCAAAGCGGCACAGAAGCAGAACGGCAAAGCATGAATTAATTAATCACTAATTAACCGGTTACACAATGCTGCCTCCCAAGAAATAAACCTAAGTGAGCAAGTACATATATGAGCTGAAACACATGCATATATTTTTAATCGGCAAGAGCAAATAAGGATCAGCACAGAGATTAACTCAAAACTTCCAAAAGTACTGCTGATATGCTAGTGACCAAATGAGATCAATACAGTACATATATGCATGCATACCGAGACATCACATGAGCTAGCTAAAAAGGCTTGTGAATGAACAAGGACAAGACGTTGCTCAGTTCAGTAAATAAGCACTTAAGACAAAACATGCAATAATTATTTAACTAGTGATCATTGTGTCATGGAAATGACAATGCATACAAATGAGTTCATGGACTGCAGTTCCTCTCACTCGAACTGCACCAGGCAAACCTGAAACCATAGCAAAGCTATGCACTGACGTGCTGCAAAATTCAGACAACACAATGCCTAACTGCTGAATGGAGCTACAAAAGAACAGAGCTTGCATATACTGAATATATAGAGCAGGAAAATGACATGGAGCTGGTTTTGAAGTTAACATGGCTATAATCACAATTAATTGTGTAGATCATGAAAATATGTAATAACAGTTTTAGTAGCCTACAATCCAAATTAAGAATGAAAGCAAGCATTATGCTCTACCTTAAAAAATTTCATATCACGGTACTAGTGTTGAGCTTAAGAAAAAATCATGTTCTTTACCAACTTGGACAGGACACACATGTTGCTAGTGGAGGACATTTAGCAGTAGCATTGTTGAAGTAACATATGTAGAAGAATAGCTAAATAAAAATCCATCTCCATTTTGAAATTTATCTCAAGCAGAAAACACAGTTCAATATTCTAGAAATTGGCGAAATAATAAATGGAACATTAGTAACAGTGACACTAGCATTAGTAACACAAAAACTAAGTGGACAAGGAAGATCAATTGCATATAGCAAACATCAATCATGCAAATAAAGGGTCTAATTAAGTTGTTTTTTAAACAATGAATATGACAACATTCCTAGTGAACCAACAGCTAGGGCACTAACCTGTCAATCATCATCTTCTTCGTCTGATTCAAACATACGTTGTCCAGTCATTGGTTGACCTGCATTGAACAAGACAAACATATTAAACCACTATTGTAAATAAAATTGACTTTGCAATATTTATCTGAAATATGACAATTACCTTCTTCTGCATCATTAAAGCCAATCAACCAATCTTTCGCACAGACTAACGCTTCAAGTGTTTCTGGAGAGAGAGATGTCCTATTTTTACCAAGTATCCTTCCAAAGCAAAGACACTAAAAGCGATTCTCGAGGACACTGTGCTAACAGGAATAGACAAGAAGTCTCCGCCATCAAAGAAGACAAGATAGGATAGGCATCCGAAGTTTTTCTTCCACCATGCTAGAACATTAAAGTTCTCTGTCGGTCTCACAACTACTCTAGGATCATTCAAATAAATATCCAATTTCGATCTTTCCGAAGCGAGTACTCGAGTTATGTGATGCAAATTGAGCAAATGCAAGCTCTACACGCCGTTTGCCACGAAGTCCAGAAGAACTCGATTCTCCCTGACTTAAAACTTCCTCTTCATATGTAACGAAGACAGGACCTGTGTTGTTCCTCACAACCCTCTCATACTCTAGATAATATTTCTTCAAGTATTGTCTAAGCTCTCTCATCTTAGCTTCCGCTTCTGCATTCTCAACAGTCAAGTAAAAGAACCTGACAAAATCAGCTTTCATTGATGGGTCTAGGACAGCAGCTATGAGAAGTACCATACTAGGCGCAGCCCAGTATTTCTGAAACTTGGTATACATAGCTTGACCAACTCATTGAGCAGTTCATTGGTATTCCACGTCTCATCAAGCAATACATCTCGAATCGCCATCAACATCTTCGTAAAGAGGTGGGCCGTTGGATGCCTATCCGCAGAAAAATGCTTTTGTAGCCTCACCGAATCTGTTCTAGGAATTCGTGAAGCGATTCAAATTTTCTCGCCGATCTAGTTCACTAGGAACATCCCCGACATCGCTCGCTCTGCGAATCTGTTGAGAGTCGCTTTATATTTCAGAGCTTCATTCAACATGTCATACGTAGCATTCCAGTGGTGGGGAACATCTAGAATCAGCCCGACTTGCCTTTGAGACCTAATGCTCGAACGATTGAGTTGAATGTTTGCATACGAGAAGGTGTAGATGTGACAACCTTGATAATGTCTCTTACCCTTCCAAGCTGCATTTGGTATGACTTGCAATCCAGCTTGGACCATTATATTGAGCACATGAGCGGCACATCCGACATGTATGTGTTCACCCTTAAAGAACATCCGAGCACCTAGAGCAAAACACGCAAGTCTCTAATCGCGCTCTGTTGTTCACGCTTGCATTATCTAGAGTCACTTTGTGAACACACGATCAACTAAATCCCACTCCGTCAAGCAAGCCGTGATGCCATCTTGCACAAACAAATGAGTTATGGGGAAAGAGATCCGCTTGAATGCAATAATCTTCTTATGGAGCTCAAACTCTTCATCAATGTAATGAGTCAGTAACTCCAAGATACCCCAGATTTTGGTTTGACGACCACAAATCAGCAGTTAAACCGACATGAGACTTCAACTTTGTAATCTTTTGATGTAGCTGTAATTTCTCTTCTTCATACAAGATCGTATATGCACTAACAGTTTGTCGACCCACCACATTGAATGAAGGTGGCAATAATTTATCATCTCTTTCCAAGCAGGATCATCGCTTTTGAAATGCAACCTCAAAGACTAAGGAAATACTTTTGCAATCGACCTCTACGAATACAACAGGATCAAATCTGTAATTATCTCTATCGGACTTGTTCTTCAAAGTTGCTAAGAATCATCCCTGTCCTCTTGAGGGATATGATGACAATAATATCCAATATGCCTATTCAAGTGAGTTGTCCCTTTCCACATTACGAGAAGACAACTGGAGCTTGCAATACTTGCACACAGCCTTCTCAATTCCATCAACGATTTCCGAGTCAACATAAGCCCAAACTTTAGCCTCTTTTCCCCGACCGGCCCGACCGATCGGTGGAGATAGCATCAAGACTATCCTCAACTTCTGCTGCTTGTTATTCTTTGAAACCCTCTCCATAATATCACACTCGGACTAATCAATTAGAGTCTCTGAACCAATGAATGACAATCAATTAGATATGATACTAAAAGTAGAGGTTTAACAGCGGTGATGTGTCGAGTGGATGAAGTTGGGTGCAAACGGTGCTTGACGTCGTGTGTGAGTGTGACGAATGCTCGCAATTTGTTCTCCATAGGAAAGATAAAAGCTGCAGAAAGCTATTTCTTCGCCGTTGTTTTAGTGTGATTCTCTATCCTAGGAGTAACTCATTTACTGATTGTGTTTACCGGTAGCATTACGTCTACGGCAAACTGAAATAGTACCATTCATAATCGACTGTAACGAAATCTGGCGATATAAAAACACCATATAGATAAAATCGTATTCGCCCAATTGAGAATCGCATTCAAAGTTTACAATAACACTTCTACCTTTTTTGTTACGCAGCAAATGTCAAGTTTCAGAGAGAGGCGTAACGTAAAATTTGGGAATTGCAATGCCACACAAATTTTAATCTATTATACTAATTAGCAATACAAGACAAGATATCCGGTAATGAACTAGAGCAATAATCGTGAAGCGTTGCAAATTTCTCGGACACTTGCCAAGGAAAATTCAGAGAGTCAAGCTCATTAAGGAATTAGCATTCAGGTTTAGAATCTCCGGTCTCTCAATCCCCTCATCAACTACTTCAGATCGGATAAAGAGAACTCAGAACAAAATGGGTTTGGACAAAGTGAAAATTCTTGAGAAGATTGACATAATCACAAAAATTCAGTTTCCACGAAAATATTCTCGCACACAAGTTTAGGAAATTGGGTAGGCAAGGAAAGAAATATCGACAATTAGTAATAACAAATGTAATAACTCAACGCACAGAGATTTCACGAAATTGAAAGAAGGCTTTGCTAGCTTCCCGAGTCAACCACAACATATCATTGTGCTAAACTAATCAACAATCACGTGCCATGATTTACCTTAAAAAGAATCATTATGCCATGACAACATCACTAATCGAAGAGCAAGACAAGAGTCTGAATATATCTGTAAATGAGTTAGCATATAGAATCACACTAGTTCAGATCCCTTGCGCTTCCACCTCAATGCTATCCTCAGTATTGATATAAGGAACACATAGCAAGAGAAAACACATGTTCAAACCGGATTGAACAAACAAGCAAATCGAATTCCATGCCGGTCTGCGATTCATTATCAATTCGGTCATACTAAAGCTGCTTAAACGGCAACCATTGTTTGCTCTGCATTTCGTAAAAAAACGGAGACAACATGTGCAGATGTAAATCAGAGAACCTTTGGAAAGTAGTATGCGTGTTTCAAACAATCCAAGCGATGCGTGTGATTTCGACAGTTACTAACTCGAATATTGCAATCAGCAATTATCGTGAAATCTGAATATTGCAATTCAAAGTGAGTCAAGTCCATTAAGGAGCATTCAGACTTAGCTAGAATCACCGGTCTCTCGGTCCTCTCATCAACTACTACTAGTCTATTAATGCTAGTGGCACCAAAGCTATTAGCTCTCCTCTTTTGCTTCACGTCTCATTCTACTTCAGTTGACTGATTGGACGATCATCGAGAACATTGGCGTTTTTTCTATGCATCAGATGGACAAAAAATTAAAAAAAAAAACATTCAGATGAAACAGGGGATCTGATCAGAGGAAATGCTCACCTTAGCTTGTGGAGGTTGAAATGATCTTCAAGATATCCAGAGTAGAGCTCCATCATAACATGCTCAAAAATGATCTCCTTAAATCAATACTTATTACTGATCACCTCACCGCATGTCTCATCAAACAGAAAGTAGTAGTTCATTTACCAAAACAAAGAATAATAGCTGAAGGATTCGTGCAACTTGAAGGTTCAGCATCTACTCTTAGGTTGTCTAGTGTTGAATGAACATGGAAGAAGATATGGTCTTAGAAAAATACTCTTAAGATACGATCATTTAAAAATACAAATGTTTGATCACTTACTTTGATTGGTGATTGCTTTATTCGGGTGACAATATAAAGATTCTCGTAAACATGGGTTCATAAGTGCTATTCCAGACTTACTGGAGAAGCCAATATGATTGGCTATTCGTTTTGTATACTTGCAGTAATTTGCAGTCATCCAGAGTAAGAAGGCAACAACAAATTGAGCATGATTAACTAAAGTTCAAACAATCATGAATCATATTTAGAAGAACACAGCAACTGAGAAGCTAACATGTGTTAGACCCAGGAAACCATGCCTTATTGCTTTCAAGTTTCAACCTAGCAGGATTGCAGGAACCAAGAGATAAACAAGCAATATTTGGCAAGCTCCAAAGCAGCAACCACGAAACGGCCGGCAGCTTAGGCTAGGTGGTAGAGGAGCGCCGGCCCCTGCCGAACCGGGGCGGGGCCTCACACGCCCCTGCCGAACCAAGTATACCGAGAGATAGATAGAGGGATGGATTAGTTGTTACCTTGTGGACTTGGCAGCGGAGAGGCGTCCTGCTGGCGCTTGCAAGACGGATCTTGCCGACGGATGAAGAAGCGATGGGGCACGAGGAATCGCTGCTACCGCCGCCCCGAGGAAGCGATGGCGACGGATGGAGAAGCGATGCGCTGATGGAAGGATCTCGGACACCGAATCATGCTGCTTTGCCGCCGCCGCCGCCGCCGCCTCCTCTTCCTCAACAACTGCGCCGCCGCCGCCCTCGGCTCCCAAGACCCGCCCCACTCGGCCGCCCCTCGACCGAGGCAAAATCCGTTTCAGATCCTCGGGCCGACCCTGTTCAGCGATCCGTGCGACGACTCGGGCCGTATCTACGGCCCAGCCTTTTTACAAGCTAATCCAATCCAACTCGATCTTTTGTTTACATGGCCCATATGCAATCCGTAAAATTAGGCCCGTGAGTTTGGGGGCCCTTTCGGCCTTTGGGTTTACACGATCCATTCCCAGGTTTACACAGTACTAATATTCCCTCAGTGGAAAGGCACGTTGCCACGGACCTACTATCTGGGGTGGGGGCTGTGTGCCGTCAGTCTCCAACTCCTATGTCGGAGAGATAAGGGCATCAATTACTTTTATCCCAAAATAATTACTATTCCATATTAAAAGAGTATTTTTAACTTATCATGGTCCTCTAAATACAAGAAAACTTTACTGATACCTCCATCCAAAAAGAACGGAGCAACCATGTAAAGGTGGTTTACATTCAAGTTTATAGTGAATAATATTTATATATATGCCTTCAAATTAATTTATTATGTTAATAAATTTTATAATTAATCTAATAATATTTATTTGATATCATAAACATTGATACTTGTTTATCTATAATTGATCAAACTTAATTAGGTATTAAAATATGACATTGTGCTAGAATTGTATTTTTTCTGGGACGGAAGGAGTATTTCTTTTATTTTCAAAGTGTAGTCATTACATGTTGGTACTAATTTTTATTTTTGAAAAAGTTACACATGATTTTATAGTAGCATTAATCTTTCCTCCATATCCTAGAAGTACATTTACTATTTTATTTTAGGAGAGAGAGAGGGGGAGGAAGTATCCACGTTGCTAGTTTGCTAGGGTCCACAGAAGGGGCAGTGGGAGATTGATGTGTGTTGTCAGCCTACTGGTGCCCATTCACGTTGGTACGGTGGAGGGGGGGTGTTTGGGCTGACGAGTGAAAAAAAGTTGTGTGTGCTGTCGTCT